GCCATTGAAGGTTTTGAAGTAGGGCAAGTGGCATGACCAGAGATGCAGTTTTAAAAGGTCACTCTGGGTAGCATGAAGAGGTTGAACAGGAAGGGGCTGCGGGAAGGGGAGTTTCTCGTGTCTCTCTTCTTTCTTTCCCACCATCCCTCTTGGGGCAGCTATGGGCACTCCCAGTGTTCACACGTCATCCCCCTTCTCCTTGTTTCAGGCTCATCCAGAGAGGACTGGACGTTGAGTGTTCTGGGCCCAGGCATCAGAGTGGACCATGGCTCCCAGCCCATGGGGCCGTGTCCGTGGCCCCCTGCTGCTGTGGCTGCTGCTGTCCCAGGGGGCTGGCCCTGCCCTGGGCCAGGGCCTTCCCAAGCCACTTGAGGACTCGGAACCACATCTGATCCCAGGAGACCACCCCCAGGGCCCTATGGGCACAGAGCCCCAGGCCCGCGACTTCCTCTGGGAGAAGTCCAGGGATGAGAGCCCCTGGAACTCCAATGTTCCCCAGGCCCCTGCCGAGAAAGTACCCGAGGAGCCCGCACACTCTCCCCTTGGCCCAGCCCTGCATGGACCTAAAGCATCCCACAGGGCTCAGAGAGGAGGACTCCCAGTAACTGATGACCTCCAGATGACTCGAGGGTCAAGTTCTCATGGCTGGACAGGACCTCCTGACTCACAGGAGCCTATAGAGCAAGAAGCACCAGCCCCCCATCCAGTAGGCCTCCCCCATCTCACTTTCATTCCCATAACTCCCAGACTCCAACTTAGGATAGCCACAGTTCCTCCCTCCCCAGGGCCAGAGGAGCCTGGAGGCCAAGTGGAGCAACGACCACCTAGAGATGAGGGTCTGGTGGACAAAGCCATGATCAGAGTCTCAGAGATATCCCCCTTAGAGCACCAGGGCCCTCCTCACACTCTTGCTCCCCACTTGGGAACTACCAGGAGGCCAGTGCTAGAAGAACAGGGTGGGGGTGAGGACTTCCAGGAGGCAGCTCGAGGCCCCTTCTTCACCCAACAGGATCCAGCGGTCCCTCATGTTGGCTTGGTATCCCCAGCTGAGGTGGCATCCTCTCAGGAGCCTCGGTCCCAGCCACACCTGGTATTGACCAAAAGCCTTCCTCCTGCTGAGGAGCTGCCAGTTGAGCTCCCCAAGAAGACTGGAGGTGAAGAGACCTGGGAAGTCAGTCTTCCAAGCCCCTCGCCCAAACAGGCTGATCTTCCTGATGTTAGGGACTCACCAAGACCCCAGCCCTCAGGTCCCCCTGCCACAGAGACACCTGATGGGTCTAAGCCAGGTGGGTATCAACGTGAGGGTGCTGAGCAGTGCTGGGAGGGGGCAGTGTTACAGGGTAACTGGATGCCCCAGTTTCTGTGTGACCTCTGGTCCATCTGGGTACCATTTTCCTCATTCTGGCAAATGAGGGTGATTGTGCCTCCCTTTTGGGGGATTAGACCTTGGGGACTGCTGGAAGATCAGGCAAAGTGATGACTGCTTTTGTTATTTCAGAAATAGCAGCAATGAATGGAGCAGACCCCATCTCCCCCCAGCGGGTGAGAGGAGCATTGGAGACCCCAGGTACCCCCAAGTCCCTCATCCCTGGCCCCTTGGACCCTGGCCCAGCTACAAATCGAACAGAGAGCCCTGTGGGGGCCCTGCAGCCAGGTGAGGGCATGGCTAGGGGTTTGGGAGACAGTGGGTACTCTTAATAACTAAAAACCTGTGTGGGGTTTATGGAGGGAGTGAATGGGGACAAACACCTGCTTAAAGGAACTGGCCAGGACTTCCTTCAAAAAACTCAGGATAAATAAACTAATGCTCACTGGGTACTCTGGGACAAGTCATTTGCCCTTTGGGGGCTAGAATATTCTTAAATGTGACTTGGATGTATTTAGTGCAGTTTCTCTAACCCCTGCAAATCAGTGGAGGAGATTTTTTAAAGTTCCAATACCCAGGCCCCATCGCAAGGAATTCTGATTCACTTGGTCTCCAGGTGATTCTAATGGGCAGCCAATGCTGAGAACTGCTGGTACATTATTAGTACAAGCGGTAGGTCACATCATTTAACATTACTGGGTGTTGGGCACTATGCTAAACACTTAATCCTCCCCACAACCCAATGAGGTAGGCGCTATTACCATCCCCATTTTATAGATGTGCTTAGAAAAGTTAAATAACTTGCCCACCATACTAGAGAGTGTGAAAAATCAAAAGCACTTTTCAAAGGGCTATTTTGATATTGTTATTGCAGATGAAGCCGAGGAGTGGCCGGGGCGTCCCCAAAGCCATCCCCCAGCACCCCCAGTCCAGGCCCCCTCGACGTCACGCCGGGGCCTCATTCGGGTCACCACGCAGCGCGCCCTGGGCCAGCCACCCCCTCCGGAGCCCTCAGCCAGCTCCGTGGCATCAGCCCCAGCCACCAGTCCCCCGGCCAATGCCACCGCACCCCCTCTGCGCTGGGGTCCCCTGCGGCGGGTGCTGAGCTTTTCCTGGGAGCTGCACGTCTATGGGGTGGGGGTGCTCTTCCTGTTGCCCGCATTGTTGGCACTGGCCTCCCTGGCAGCCGCCCCTGCGGGGCCGCGGCTGGCTCTGGTGGCGGCCGTGCTGGTGCTCCTAGCATCTGGGCTTCGATCTGCCTACATGCTCGCCGACCCGTACGGCTCTCAGGCACGGCTGGGCTTACGCGCCGGCCTGGTACTCTACAACCTGCCCTTCCCCTTGCTGCTCACTGCGCTGGCGGCCCTGACCCTGCTCGGGCTGGGCGCGGGGCTGCCACAGCAGCTGCAGAACCCGCTCCTGCTGGGAGCGTTGGCGTTGGTGCACGGCGTGGGGTTGCTGACTACTGACCTGCTGTCGGTGAGTCCTGCGCTCAACCTCCTGGCTCAGGGCTTGTCGTGCGCCTGGGGCGCGACTGTGTCTCTGGGCACGCTCTGCCTTTGCCGTCGCCGCCTGCTGGACGGGCCTCGGGGCTGGGATGCCAGCCCGGGCCCGCGGCTGCTGGCCGTGGCGGGCGCGCTGGGGCTGCTGGCCAGTGGCTTGCAGCTGGCGGCTGCGCTCTGGCTATACCCGGGCCCAGGCCGGGTGGGTCGCTTTTCGTGGGCCTGGTGGGGCGTCCACTTCTGGCTGCGCCTGCTGGAGCTGACATGGGCCCTCACCCTGGCGCTGGCCGCTGTGGCCGCCGTGCGGCCCCGGCCGCCCACGGAGCACGCTTGCTGGGCGAAGTTGCTCCGCCTGGCGTGCCCCACGCCCTCGGGCAAGAGTGAGGTGCCTGAGCGACCCAACAACTGCTATGCGGGGCCCAGTGGCGTCGGCGCAGGCGGCTTGGACATCAGCAAGAGCCTCATCCGCAACCCCGCGGAGGGTGGGCCGCCTGCCACGCCCAGTTCAGGCGCCTGGGGCTCGGCTGCGTCTTTGGGCCGCGGCCCCCAGGGTGGCCCGGGACTGTCCCGCAACAGCGTGGGGCCGGCGCCGTCGATGAGCGAGCTGGACCTGCGGCCGCCATCACCCATCAACCTGAGCCGCAGCATCGACGCCGCGCTCTTCCGAGAGCACTTGGTGCGAGACAGCGTATTCCGGCGCTGCGGCCTGCGCGGCCTGGCCTCCCCGCCGCCTGGGGGCGCGCTGCGGCCGCGGCGGGTCAGCCACCCCGACGCCGAGCTCGACGGCGCCGGCTCTTCGCTCCTGCGAGGCCGCTGCCACTCTCTCAGCGACGTGCGGGTGCGCGGCCCGGTCCCGCCACACGTCGCCGATGACCCTGACGGGGCGGCTTCTCGCAGCTCCATGGACAGCTTTTCCCGGGGCTCGCTCAAGATCAGCTGGAACCCGTGGCGTCACGGGCTGTCATCGGTGGACAGTCTGCCCCTGGATGAGCTGCCCAGCACGGTGCAGCTACTGCCTGCCCCAGCTCCAGCCCCTGCCCCGCCCCCCGCCCGGCCCGGGGAACCTCAGAGCGAGGTCCAGCCTCGCTGCAAGCCCGGGGACTCCCGCAGCGCCTCCAGTGACACCATTGAGCTCTGAGGGGTCCAGGAATGCAGGACCAGGGCCCCACCCTCGATGGCCATATGGCGTGGCCCATTGGGACAGAGGAACATTTCAAAAACCGGCATTCCCGGGCTTCCACCTGACAGCCACCCCTGGAAACAGCCGGGCATGAACCTACCCCCGTTCTTTTGTTTGTTTTTTTAATCTTTTTTTTTTTTTTTCCAGCGGGTATTTTGCACAGAGCCTGTGACTTATGCGGAATACAGGGTGGACATGCACGGATTTGGGTGTGGGATATGGGGTCCATGAACCCCCAGACACCCCTCCAGGCTCCCCAGTGTGGAGAGATGAGGCTTGCTTGTCCAGAATGACCTTCCTCTTTGTGCCAAAGAAATAAACCCTTAGGAGTTGGCTCATGCCTCCCTCTGGCCATGCCAGGATCCTGTTCAGAGAAGAGGTAGCAGTCCCCACCCTCCAGCAGTCCCAAGTCCTGTCTGTGTATGTTGGGGAGGGGATGACTTAAAAAGGAAAGCTACACCACAAGTGTAGCTGCCGTCTGTCACCTTACAAGGCTATTCCAGTACCATTGGCCATACGCTGTGCTGACCCTGGGAGGCTTTTGGAGTAACGGCTACCAATATTTCATAGCACATCTGTCTGTCGTGCACTGTCTTCAGCTCTTCACATCCATCATCTTACTTCTCATATTAAGCCTGAGTCGAAAGCATTACCATGCCCGTTTTAGAGATGGGAAGAGTGAAGTTCAGAGACAAAAGTCATTTGTCCAGGGTCTTTTGGCAAATGATAGCTGGCACTGAACCCAGGAAGTCCCACTCCAAAGCCTGGTTCCTCCATCCCCCTTCTCCTAACACTACTTTAGGCCAAGCCTCTCTGTCCTCCCTCTACTGCTCATCCGTCAGGATAGCCCTCAATTTCCCAGGGTTTTCAAAAGTTTCCCCAAGGGCAGGGGCTCTCAGTAGCTCAGGCCAACCCATGGGGAGTAGGAGGCAGGCAGTGAGACTGAAGCGTCTCTCTTTTCCAAGACCTTTATTTCCTGAGATGAATAAATAACCAGTGGCTGAGGGGCAGGGTGTGAGTACGGGACAGGAGCTTGTGGCATGCTGCTGGCAGGAGGGGCTGTGACGGGCCCGCCCCTGGAGGGAACCCCCCTCATCCTGGGCAGGGGCCAAAGCCCATCAGCAGCCATCGCAAGGAGATACTTTTTAAAAATTCACACATGTTGTGAAGCCTGCCCACTTCCCCCAGGCCAGGATCTCATGGCATCCATATTTAGAGCTACTTTTTCACCCCAAGGGCCTCACCTGCCCAGGCCTGGTGGGTAGGGGGTGCTTACCCCGCTCAAATATAAAGCAAGCTGCCTCAAGTGTCCAGGCGGGAGAGAGGCCTGACCTCTGGGGACAGCCTGGATCGGAGGAGATCCTGCAGATGTGGCAGGGATTATCTGCCCTTGATGAAGCCCTCCAGCACACGGTCACTGCGCTCCGACAACCAGTAGCCAGTCATGGCCGCCACAGCCCCAATGAAGATGGCGGTGAAGACCAAGTCGCCCTTGGCGGCCAGTGTGGCCAGCGCACAGATGATGACCCCAAAGAACATCTGCTGCAGCACCACCAGCTCGTCCTCTGTCATCTCCGAGAAGAAGCCTGCTGATTCTGTGAAGAACAAGAGAAGCACCTGTTACTCCTCTCCTATTCCTGGAGCTTCCCACATACCTCATCACTGCTGCTACATACCTGCCCGCCTGGCGCACGATGTCATTCACTGCTGAGAACAACTCCAACAGGGGCAGTCATCCCTATCTCACTAAGTGGGACACTGAGGCTCAGAAAAGGAAAGAGGTTTGCCCAAGGCCATGTGGTGGGCAAGTCGGGACAGAGCATGTGTACTAGGCCCAGCTCCAGAGCCAGACTGCCTGGCTTGGGACTCCCAGCTCTGCGACCTGCTTGTCATGTGGCCCTGGGCAAGTTATTTCATCTCTCTGCATCCTAGTTTCCGCTGTGTAAAATGAGGATGAGAATAACGCTAACAACACTGGATTTGTTTTAGAAGTGAAGGACGTTAATACATGCAACATGCTTGGAATAGCATCTGACACACGGTGAGAGCTGTGCAAGTGATACCTATTGTCATCACTGTGATTGTCCTTCATCTCATCACACCTACGGCCTGCGACCGCTCTCAGCAGTCCAGGGCAAGGACTGGTCCCACTGGACAGATAAGAATGGAGGTAGGGTGATTTGACACCAAGTGGGATTTTCTTTCTACCTTGGGAGGTGTGAGGTGGCTAAAAGTCAGCCTGGAGATAAGATGTAGGGTTTGGGTCTCAGTGCAGCCTCTCCGGGGCGGCGTGGCCGTGGGGATCGGGCAGGGCCTGTGGTTGCCTGGAGAAGGGGCTTGCCTGCCTGCCCCCTGGATGAGCACCTCCCCTCCTAAGGCTTCTGGGGGCCACTAGGGGGCTCACCTGGGATCTGCTCCTTCACACAGACGCCCTCGATCTCTTTGTAGCCCTCGGCACAGACACAGCGATAGCTGCCCTCGGTGTTCTCGCACTGCTGGTTCTCTCCTGGACACACCTTTGTCTCACATTCGTCTACATCTGGAGGGAGGGTGAGGCGGGGTCAGGCCCCCACTGCCAGGGTCCCACACACAGCAGCCCTGACTCCCATCTCGCTCACATCCAGACACTCCAGACAACATTCCACCCTTCCTTCCCCTGCCCTGTCCATATGCCCCCAGCTGTTCTCAGTTCGTGGTGGGCAAGGCACTGCCCGGTGTCTGTGCCCCGCTGGCAGGAGACTCACCGAGACACTTGGAGCCCACCTGCTGGTAGCCAGGGCTACACTTCTTACAGCGGCCTGGCCCTGCCCCCATGCAGCCCAGGCAGGCCTTGGAACAGTCTGGAGAAGGAAGAGGAGAGAAAAGGCTGAGAGCTGCCCTTGGGCCCCGTGTGGATTATGGAGGGGGAAGCCCTAGACCAGAAGAGGTCAGGAGTGGGAGGGGAGGGGATGGGTCGGTGCCTGAGAAGGCAGAAGTTCGGGGGGGAAAGGCATGGAGCAGCTCCTCCTACCCTCCCCACACCCCTCCCCTACAGGATTGGCACTTACCTCGGCACTCATAGGAGCCCTCCGTGTTCACACAGAACTGGTCGGCTCCACAGCTGGCTCGCTCTGTGCCACACTCGTCGATGTCTGCAGAGAGGCCAGCAAGGTGGGAATTTCAGTCCCTACTGCGCTGGCAGGGAAGCTGAGGCAGCGTTGTCGGGGAGTGGACCCGCCCACACTCAAGACGGTGGGCCCAAGAGCGCGGGCTGTGCGGATGCACGGATGCCGCTGGGCTTCAGGCCGCCCAGCCAGAGACTGCGTTTTCCAGTCTGCCTCAAAGCTAAGTGTGGCCTGAACCTGAGTTCTGGCCAACAGGATGTAAACAGAAGTGATGTGCTCCACTTTTAGCTCGGCCTTAAAACTACAGAATTGGACTCCTCCATGCACTTTCTTCCCTTTCTCACTTCCTGAGTGTCAGGTCTGGGAACATGGGGGTACCTGTAACCCAACCTCGAACAACAGAAACATCCCCAGGGGATGACCACACAGTAAGACAGGAAGTACTAGGTCCCTGAATGATTGTAACAAGCAGAACTTCCTTGCCAACCTGGACCACTTGTTTCGAGACTGTGATAGGAGATAAAAATAAACCTCTATATTCTTTAAGCCACAGTCTTTGGTGATCTTTTTGTTATAGCAGCTTAGCCTTTACTCTCGTCTATATAAATAGCAGGACAGAGACCAAACCAAGTCTTGAACCCAGGCTTCCTGATCCCAAGTTAAGTATCTTCATTTTCCTGGCTAATCCTTTCCTCAATTTTCAAGACTCGGCCAAAGTGATACCTCCTCCAAGAAGCCTTTCCTGATTCCCCACCACCACAGAGCTGGCTCAGGGACATCTCTAACTGCACAAAGATGAGTCTGTACTCTAACTGCCTGCCTTTCCAACCAAGTTGAGATCTCCATGAAGATGGGGACTGTGGTGGTCTAGCCCAGAGATGTGTGTGTTGATGGGGACCACCTCCCCACACCTAGGGCCAGGCCTCACTCACCTACACACTTGAGGTGATGCAGGGCCCAGCCCTTCTTGCACTGTAAACAGTTTGATTCCTCAGGTCCAGAGCAGCGGGCACAGGGGCCAAAACAAGCTGGGGGCAACGGGGAAAGTGTGAGGATGGGCAGACAGGCACCCCATCTGCTCCTGCCCAGCCCCGCACCTCTTGGCTACCTACCCGAACATACCAGATGGCTGGCGTTGCGCTCGGCCTCAAAGTAGCCGAGGCCACACTGGCCACAGGCCTCGCCCCCGTAGCCGGCTTGGCAGTCACAGTGCCCGCTGCCCCCTCGCGTCCCTTCCCCTTCACACTGCCCGTAGCCACCGCAGGGCTTCTCTGCGCCCCCAGGACAGGCTGTGGGCAGACACCAAACCAGGTAACATCACAAATACAATCGTGAATACAGAGAATATTCCCCCATATCATTAAACATTTTTGGAGAGGAAACTTAATTTTCATGGCATCATAATACTTTGTGTGGCACGTTGTTAACCAATACCCTTCTGTGGAACAGATTATTTACAGATCTTTCCTTTTAGAAAGACTGAATTAATCATCTTTGTCACTAACTCCCTTTTTTGTTTGTTTTCAATTTATTTATTTTTTATTCTTTGTGTCACTAAGTGTTTATCTGAAGCTTCCAGAGAGATTTTTCTAAAAGGGGCTGGTAGTAGGTACAGCTCCTCCCTCAGGACCGTGTGTAGAAAAAGGTGACCATGGGGGCTTCAGAGCAGCACCTGCCTGTCCCCAGGGAGGTCACCTTAGTCCAGGGGATGGGCCTGATCTGATCCAGGCATGGGAAATGGGGGTGGGGGTGGGGGCATTTCTCACAGGCATGATAAAAACCCCAGTCCCATCTGACTGTCTAGCCCTCTTATCTTTTTTTCACAACCATTCCCCACTGATTTGCTCATCTCAACAGCCCTCTGAAGCAGGTAACTAACGTCCAGAGAAATTATCTGAGCAACCTGGGCTCACACAGCCAGCTATGGGACAGAGCCAGGATTGGATCCCTGGCTTTGGCAGTCCCCTCTCATACCCCGAGAGGAGCTTGAAAACTCACGAAGGCAGGAGGGCCCGAAGGTGCCTGAGGGGCAGCAGAGCTTCAGGGAATCTGAGCAGAGCCACTGGAAGAGGTCTGGGGCTTCCTGCTGCCTGAAGGGGGTGGGGGTGGGGTGGGGATGACAGTAAGGGGGGCTGAGACTATGCCAGAGTTGCTGCCCAGCCCCCAGCCTCCCAAAGAATCTGTGATACAACCCACCTTGGATAGAAGACCCATAAGGCTACCTGACCAACACCCTCTCCCCATTTGGCAGAGGAGTAAACTGAAGCTCAGAGTGAGAACCTGGATCCCCCCCCCAAGTCCTTAGCAGATCTAGGTTTGGAAGAAGGAGCCAAACCAGGACATAGACCCAAGCATGCAACCCCCTCCTTTACCATCAGGCCCTGCCTGTGGCCCCCTCCCTGGGAAGCCTCCCAGCAACTCACTTGTGAAACCACCAGCTCTCCACCAGTTCCTCACTCAGCTCCAGCAGGCGGTGGCACTCAAAGTCCGACTTGCTGCACACGCTCTCGAGCACCTCTACCAGGCGGGTCTCGCTGACCAGACAGGTTGGGGTGATAGGACTATGTTCTACCCCATCCACCACCCTCCTTTAGGGTCTCCTCTCCCACCCCCCTCATGCCATGACATCAAAGGGAAGGTGAGAGGGCGTACTGATTTGGGGAGTCAGATACTGGGTTTGCATCTAGTTGAGTGACCTTGGGCAAGTCACTTAACCTCTCCTGAACCTCTGTTTTCTCATCTGTAAAATGGAGACAATATCTGCCCTGCGGATTTGTTGTAGGATACCTCAGTTCCTGCATTTGCACAATGGAATATAATACCCTTGCTGGGTATATGTGATTAAAAATACATCACATAACAAGTGTTGGCAAGGATGTGGAGAAATTAGAACCCTCCTACGTTGAAGATGGGAAAGAAAAATGGTGCAGCCACTGTGGAAAACAGTTTGGCTTCCTCAGTAGGTTACACATGGGATTACCATATGAATCAGTAATTCCACTCCTGGTTATATACCCCAAGGAATGGAAAACAGGTGTTCTAACAAAAACTTGTACACAAACATTTGTAGCAATACTATATACAATAGCCAAAAGGTAGAAACAACCCACATGTTCATCAACTAAAAAACGAATAAGCAAAATGTGGTAAACCCATACAATGAAATATTATTAAGCTTTCAAAAGGAATGAACTACTGACATATGTTCTGTTATGGACGAACCTTGAAAACAATACACTAAGTGAAAGAAGCCAGACACATGTAGATTCCAATGGAATCAGCAAACCCACAGACACAGACAGCAGAGTAATGGTTGCCAGGGGCTGGGGGAAGGGGAGAGTGGGGAGTGACTGCTTAATAGGTAAGAAGTTCCTTTGTGGGGTGATTAAAAATGGTCTGGAATGAGACAGTGGTAAAGGTTGCAAAACACTGTAAATGTACTAAATGTCTCCAGTGGTAAATTTTACGTTATATATATTTTACTACGATAAATTTTTAAAAAATACATATATACATACACACATATATTACGTATTTTAAGGGTCTGGCATGTGCCTGGCATATAGGAGGAGAGGACTTAAAAACCAAACAAACAAAAAACAGGAGCCATTATACAGCTAGATGTGCCCTTCGGGTTATCCTTGGCCATTCCCCTCATTCCTAAATGAGGAAACTGAGGTCCATTAAGGGAAAGGAAAATGACCAATGTTACATAATAACAAAATCTTTTGTATCTAGTGGGCATCACAGTTTAATCCTTACCACAATCCTATGAAATAGGCAAAGCAAGTATTAATATCCCCATTTTACTGATGAGAAAACTGAGGCTCAGAGAGGTTAAGTGACCTTCCCAAGGGTACACAGGGTCAGAACTGACAACCAGGTCTGTCTAACTCCAAATCTTGCTGATTCCTTCTCCTTAACTTGACTTTGAAGAGCAGGAGGGCCTAGGACTCAGGCCTTTCATCTCATGGTCTCATCTCATCCCATGGCTTTATGCTAATGACTCCCAAACTCGGGTTTCTAGCTCCTACTTTTCCCCTGAACCTCCGACACCTAAATTTAACTCTACTAGGCTGTATAATGGACATCACAGCCCAGTATGTTCAAGAACACCTAATCCCACCCCCCGCCAAATCCTCTCCTGCCTCACCTTCACCCATACCAGAAAACATTGCTCAGGCCCAAAACCTAGTAAGTACTTGTTATTCTTTTTCTCTCCTACCCCATAATGATTCCATCATCAAGCCCTATCAGTCCAGCTGCAAAATATACCTAGTATCTGACCCGTTCTCACCATGCCCACCACTAGACACCACACTAGCTCCCAAACGGTCTCCCTGCTTCCTCCATTCCAGCCCCTACAGCCATTTTGCTACATCGCAGTGAGTGATCTTTTAAAGGTAAAAATAAGACCACATCACTTCTCTGCTCCAAACCTTCCAATGGCTTCCCATTACACTCAGAACGAAATCTAAACACTGTTCTGTGACCTTCCAGGCACTCTGGCTTCATGTTCTACCACTCTCGTCTACTCAGTCCCAGCCAGCCTCTTCTCAAATACACCAAGCTCAGTCCCGCTCTGTCCAAATCCCTTCCCTGTCACATAGCTTGCTTCTTCACTTCAGGTTTCTGTTCAAACGTCACACCTTGAACTCCACGCCCCCCCCCCGCCACCATTCTGTAGTCTACCCTGCTTTCCTGTTCTTCACTTGGTATGACATTATTTATTTACTTATTCACTGTCTTCTCAACTAGAATGTAAGCGCCGTGAAGATGGGGTTTTGCTTGCCTTATTTACTGCTGTACTATAGATGCTCAGTGATATTTGAGAGTCTCTAGGCTCCCACCAGTAGAGCGGAGATTGGGAGGTGAGGTATACAAACCCACCTCTCCAGCCCCTTACCTGTCTTTGTATTTGGACAATTTCTCCTCCTCCCAGGCAGTATTTCCACCTCCGAAGTTGTCCCGGATTGTTCTCTCCAGGCCCTGGAAATGGAGAACATGAGTAATAGCTAAGTACAGTGCCTGGCACATTCTAGCACTTCAGTATTTCACTGACCAGGGGACTGAGGCACAGAGAGGCAACCTGCCCAAGGTCATACAACTAGTAAGCAACCAAGCTGGTACTTGACTCATGCAGACTTGCATTCCACAACTCCTCTCAAACCCCTGTGCTATCATGGTTCGGCCATCTCCCACAAGGCTGCTGGTGCACCCACCTTGTTGAAGCTGTCGACCAGTCCCCGGCAGGTATGACATGGGTGCAGCTCAGTTGGCGGAGAAGACTGGGGAGGCGGAGAGGGTTGGAGCCAGACGGGGCCTGGGAGGCTAAGGAAGAGACTCAAGCCCCAGAGCAGAGGTGGGACCAGGCCCCTCCGGGGCAGTGAGGCCATCTTTTCCCAGGCTGGGAACCTGTAAAGGGAATGGGAATGACTCACTGGAGGAGCCAGGTGAGAAAGAAGAGGGTTGGTTCGGGGGTGCCGCGGGTCTGGGAGCCCAGATGTGTGTTGTTATAAGGAGGCTAGACTTGGGGGGACAGCCGGGGGAGGGGAAGTGGTGAGGAAGGAGCCTGTTCTGCAATTCCAAGACGGGAATAAGTTATCCTCCTCACCGTGGGAGAGGTGGCCTGAATCCTTAGCAAGGAAGAAGTCAACTCATTGTTTTAAAGTCTGAATATGGGTTATTAGGGCCAGGATCAGCGGAGTTTGGGAGAATGGGTCAGAGTCCAAGTACTAGCGGAGTAGAGGCCGGATGGGAGGTCTCGGGGGGAGGAGTCCGGAAAGGAACCCGGGTCTAGAGGGGAGGAGCCCGGATCCGGATATGAAGAGAAGGGGGTGAGGCTCACGGCCGGCAGACTGCAAAAGCGCGGCCGCTAGCAGGCAGGGGAAGATCCAGACCCGCGTAGGCTGCGTGGGAGGAAGAGACGACCCACCCAGCCCGCTGGCGCCGACCGCTCAGTCTCCCCAACGCCGCAGCAGCCGCTGCCTGCGTAAGACGTGCCGCCTCGGGCGGCTCCGCAGCCTGGGGGGCGGAGCCCGCCCCCCAGCCAATGGTGGCAGTCCATGTGCCATTGCGTCACCTCACGTCAGCCACCCGCCGGCGGTGCCGGGCTGCACCTGTCCGGGTGTTAAAGGGCCGCGGGCGTCGTGCTAGGCCAGCGACGCGGTCACAGACACATGCGGGAGACACGGGTAGAAAAATAGCGTCTGCCTTTATTCGAGTCGTCTCCCCTGCCTCACGTGCCATCCCGCGTGCAGTCCCCAGGAGCCCCGGGAGCCTGAAGCAGCTGGTCCAGGGCGGGCTGCAGGGCCCGGGACACTTGCTTCGCCCTCTCCCCGAGCCGCCCGGGACGGGGGACGGCAGGCCCCTGCAGGGTCCCCAGGAAGTCGGGCAATTGGGAGGGCAGGGAGAAGACCGGTACGCTGCGGAAAAGGGCGGGCACGGCCTCCGAGTGGAGCAGTCCGTCGAAGTAGGCCCCCACGTAGCGGCCGGGCGCCCGGCCCTGCAGGAAGTCGGGCAGCACGCAGCTCAGCGAGGCGGCAAAGGCGTCGTGCGGGCCGTGCGGGGCGGACGCTGCCGCCCCGTCCTGCAGCCACTCGTGGCACAGCGCCACGGCCCCGGGCGAGAAGAGCAGGACTACCACGCCGCCATCCTGCAGGGTCTGGCGCCGCTGCGCGTGGAACCAGGCCAGGGGTCCCTGCGCACTCAGTTCACGACGGCTCCAGAGGTCCACGGCCACCCGCAGCGGCAGCTGGCACAGCGCGGAGGCCAGGGCGCCCACCAAGCGCTCGAAGCCCGAGTCCTCCGCCGAGTAGAGGAGCAGAGCCGCGCGGCCCCTGGGGGCAGCTGCCAGAGAGAACAGAGGGGAAAGGAAGACGTGAGAGGGCCCGAGGTCCGGCCCGCTGGGGGCGGCCCCCCGCCCGGCACTTGCTCACACTCACCCCCCGCGCGGAGGTCCTCCTTCAAGAGCCTCAGCCACCCTGTTAGGGGAGAGGGGCGGGGCGGCCCATGAGTTCCGCCGCCACCTTCTCGAGGGGAACTCCCAGCCCTGGGGGGTCGGGAAGTGCTCACCTTTCACGTGGTCCTTTTTGAAAAGGAAGAGAAGGAAAAGCACAGAGGCCAAGAGTAGGCAGGCCAGCCACACCAGGGCCCAGCGCTGGTGAACGTCTAGGCGACCCAGGGGAGAGGACAGCCTAGTTAGGTACCTCACACTTTCAACCCACTTCACGAAGGAGAAAACTCATTTAAAAGATCTCTGGGGCTGCCATGTGGTGACTGAACTGGCTCAGAGGAATATGGAAAGATTTCTCCCAAATCCACAGTATATAGTGTCAGAGTCAATATATGGACATAGATCCATCTATTTGGGTGAACTTGGACAAGTCACTTCACCTTTTGCCTCAGTTTTCACCTCTGTAAAACTGGGTTCACAATAGTACCTACTTCATAGGGTTGTTGTGAGGACTACATATATTAATACACACAAAGCACTTATGCTGGGCATATAAGTGCTCAAATGTCAGCTAATATTGTCTCCTGAGCCTAGGGTTGCTGGGCCTTTGACCTCACTCTCTTGATGACTCCAACAGCCTTCTAACTGGAGTCCCTAACCTCTTTTTTACCTCCAAGTCCTTCACTACATGGCAGCCCCAGAGATCTTTTTAAAATACAAATTTGATTATAGCCTTTCAGGAAACTCCCACTGCTCTTAACATAAAATCCAATTTCCTAGGGGGCACCTGGGTGGCTTAGTCCGTTAAGGGTCCGACTCTTGATTTTGGCTCAGGTCACGATCTCAAGGTTGTGAGATCATGAGTGTGGATTCTGCTTAAGATTCTTTCTCTGCCCCTCCCCTCTCTTTCAAAAAAAAAAAAAAAAATCCAATTCCTTGCATCAGCTCCCAAAGTCCTAGATGGCCTTTGCATCCTTGTGATAGAGGTCTGCCTTCTAAGATCCTCCAGCCACCCTGGCTACCTTGGAGTTTCTCAAAAAAGCATCTCTCCCCCCTTCACCTAGCTCAGCCTTCAGAACAGCCAGAACCTTTTCCTGGCCTCACCCCACCTAAATCAGTTCCCCAGTATATGCATTTATGGATTTGGACACTTTATAGTGAATGCTTCAATAGCTCACATTTACTCAATGTAAGTGATTGTTTAGCTAATGTCTTTCTAGCCTTCTATGGCTGCGGTGGGGACAGGGATTGTGTCTTTTTGGTGATGCTTGAATCTCTGTAAGCTCTCTTCTTGGTTTTTTTTTTTTTTTTTT